TTCATCAAGAATTGCAAGAAGTCTCTATCACGTGCCTTAGCATTTTATGGAGAGGGAGCATGGACACAGGGGTCATCCCACACACACTAAAAACAAGACATAGCCCCACTCCACAAAGGTGGCAGTAAAGCAATTGCAAAGAACTACAGACTGATAGCACTAACATCCCATATAAAAAATTTTGAGAGGGTTCTAAGAAGCAAGATAGCCAACCACCTAGATACCCATCAGTTACACAACCCAGGGCAACACGGGTTTAGAGCAGGTCGCTCCCGCCTGTCCCAGCTACTGGACCACTATAACAAGGTCCTGGATGCTGTAGAGGATAAACAAAATACAGATGTAGTATGCACAGACTTTGCAAAAGCTTTCGACAAGTGTGACCACGGTGTAATAGCACACAAAATGTGGGATAAAGGAATAACGGGAAAAGTTGGTAGATGGATCTACAACTTTCTGAAAAATAGAACACAAAGAGTAATAGTGAACAGATTAAAGTCCCAGGCAGCCAGGGTAAAAAGCTCTGGTCCACAAGGCACAGTACTCCCTCCCATTCTATTCCTCATCCTCATTTCTTACACAGAAATGACACCCGGATCATCATGGCAGTAACCTTCATCCAAGAAGCTGCGAGACTCCAAGTGGACATCAACCAAATCTTTGAATGAGCCACTCAAAATAATATGAAGTTCAACGAGGAGAAATTTCAACTACTCAGATATGGAAAACTTGAAGAAATAAAAAATGTCAGGGTATACCACAAATTCTAACCATACAATTTGCGCTGTATAGCCCTTGTGGCTTCGCGCTCCTTTTTGATAATAATAATAATAACCATACAATATAGCGGAAAAGTAATTGGAAGGACCTGGGAGTGATAATGTCAGAGGATCTCCCCTTCAAAGACCACAACAACGTATCTACCTCATCCGCTAGGAAAATGATAGGATGGATAATGAGAACCTTCAAAACTAGGGATGCCAAGCCCATGATGATTCTCTTCAAATCACTTGTGCTCTCTAGGCTGGAATACTACTGTACACTAACAGCCACCTTCAAAGCTGGCGACATTGCAGACCTGGAGAGTGTACAAAGAACTTTCATGGCACACATAAGTGCGATAAGGCACCTAAACTACTGGGAACGGTTGAAGGTCCTTGATCTGTATTCCCTCGAACGCAGGCAAGAGAGATACATGATAATATACACTTGGAAGGTCCTGAGGGATTGGTACCAAACCGGCACACGAAAATCACTCCATATGAAAGCAAAAGACTCGGCAGGAGATGCAACATTCCCCCAATGAAAAGCAGGGGTACCACAAGTACACTGAGAGACAGCACAATAAGTGTCTGCAGCCCAAGACTGTTCAACTGCCTCCCAGCATACATAAGGGGAATTACAAATAGACCCCTGGCTGTCTTCAAGAAGGCACTGGACACGCACCTAAAGTCAGTACCTCACCAACCGGGCTGTGGTTCGTATGTCAGCTTGCGTGCGACCAGCAGTAACAGCCTGGTTGATATGACTCTGATCCACCATGAGGTCTGGTCTCAGACCGGGCCGTGGGGGCGTTGACCCCAAAACCCTCTCCAGGTATCACCAGGTAAACATTATCATGTTTACCTGGTGATACCTGGAGAGGCATGTAGTGCTGTCTGACCCTTGTGGGTTTAGCATTTACTTATGATTATAATAATAACAAGGAGGCATACATGACCATATACATTTTATATAGCTGGCCCCTCAGGTTAAGCATGTAAAGAAACTGGAAAAAGTGCAGAGGTTTGCAACAAAACTAGTCCCAGTGCCCAAGGATATAACTTGTGAGGAGAGGATAAATAAGCTAAACCTGATGAGCCTAGAGGACAAGGACTAGAGGTGACATGATTACAACATACAAAATATTGAGAGGACTTTACAAGAGTGGACAAGGAGAGTGTTTGAGAAGCTGGTCTAAGGTACACAAGGTCACAGCTGGAAGCTAATAGCACAGATGATTCACAAGGATGTTAGGAAATACTTTTTTAGCCTTAGAGTGGTCAGGAAGTGGAATGACCTAGATAGTGAAGTGGTAGAGACAGAAAAAGTATGATAAGGCTCACACAGCCAGAAGAAACTTTAATTAGTAACGACCGCAGAGAGGCTGGGTCAGGAGCTGAGACTCAATTCCCTCAACCACAGTTAGGTGAGTACACACACACATATGTATTTTAGTAACCAGTATTTAATAATACAGAAATAATGCAGATGTTTAGGAGTCTATTAGAGACTCCTCTGGAGCTGGTAAACTAGTTGAGAAGAAGCCCTTATATGTACTTACAGTGGTCCCTCAATTATCGTCTATAATCCGTTCCTGGAAGTGGGACTATTATTGAAATAGACGATTTTCGAATCAATTTTCCCAATAAGAAATGATGTAAATACAATTAATCCGTTCCTGACACCAAGAAGTATTAAAACAAAAAAATTTTTTACATGAAATATAGATGTAGTACATAAACAATACAATGGAACATGATGAATGAAACATTAACAGAATAACACTTACCTTTATTGGTGATTCTTCTTAGTGTATGGAAGACTGGAGGAGGAGAGACATTGGATTATTTACTGTTTGGAAGGGGAATCCCCTTCCATCAACACCTCATGTACCAAGTGCTTTTCTGGGATTCTCTTCTCTGTTTCTTAATGCCACTAGGACCAGCTTGAGAGTCACTGGAGTCGTGTCTCGCAAAAAAACTGTCCAGAGAGCTCTGTTTCTGGCGTCTCTTTAAAACTTCCCTAAAATGGGCCAAGACTCTCTCACTGTACAAGTTGCCGATATGGCTTGCAACATCCTTCTCAGGGTGATGTTTCTCCATAAATCTTTCCATCCTACCCCACATTTCAAAAATATCCTTAATTTCTGAAGAAGGCACCTTCTTCCATCTCTCTTCCTCCTCCTCTGCAGCAAGATTCTGAGCTGCGATCTGTTGCTCTTCCTGCTGAAGCTCTTGCAGCTCCTCAGTGGTTAGCTCTTCATTGTGGTCCTCCACCAACTCTTCCACATCCAACCCCATGGAACTCCCTATTGCCACAATAGAGTTCACAACTGACATAGGCTCATCAGGAGCTGCCTCAAACCCTTCAAAATCCCTCTTGTGGACACAATCTGGCCACAATTTTCTCCAAGCAGAGTTCAAAGTCCTGGTAGTCACTCCCTCCCAAGTCTTACCTATAAGGCTTATGCAATGGAGAATATTCTTTCCAAAAATCTCTTAAGGTCAAGTGAGTGTCTGAGATCACATTAAAGCACCTTTCAAACATTGCTTTGGTGTAGAGTTTTTTAAAGTTTGAAATGACTTGCTGGTCCATGGGCTGGAGGAGAGGAGTGGAATTCGGAGGCAAGAACTTTACTGTGATGAACCCAAACTCCTTCAGAATTAGGTCATCCAAGTTTGGAGGATGAGCAGGAACATTGTCCATTACTAGGAGGCACTTGAGATCCAATTTCTTTTCCAGGAGGTAATTCTTCACACTAGGGCCAAACACTTCATTGAACCACTCGACGAAAATGTCCCTTGTGACCCATGCTTTATTATTAGATCTCCAAAACACACACAATTTACTCTTCATAACATTGTTTTTCTTGAACACTGGGATTTTCAGAATGGTACACTAGTAATGGCTTCACTTTGAAATCTCCAATAGCATTAGCACAGAACATGAGCGTCAGCCTGTCTTTCATAGGCTTGTGTCCTGGCAGTGCCTTTTCTTCCTGAGTAATGTAGGTCCTCTTTGGCATTTTCTTCCAAAAGAGGCCTGTTTTGTCACAATTGAACACTTGTTCAGGTTTCAGTCCTTCAGCCTCTATGTACTCCTTGAATTCCTGCACATATTTTTCAGCCGCTTTTTTGTCAGAACTGGCAGCCTCACCATGCCTTATCACACTGTGTATGCCAGTACGGTTCTTAAATCTCTCAAACCAGCCTTTGCTGGCCTTAAATTCACTCACATCACCACTAGTTGCAGGCAATTTCTTTACCAAATCGTCATGCAACTGCCTAGCCTTTTCACAAATAAGCTAATTGTTTCTCGTTTATCCACATCAATAATAATTTCTCAACATCTTCAAGTACTGGTGATCTCATTTTTGTCAGCATATTTACCCCCTTTGTAACAACAGCTTCCCTGATTTCCTTTTTCTTAGCTATGATGGAAGATATGGTTGTACGGGATTTGTTATACATCCTGGCCAGTTCGCCCACACATACGCCACTTTCATATTGTTCAATGATGTTTTTCTTAAATTCAATCGTATTTCTCACCTTCTTTACCAAAGGCTTGGCACTAGGAGCTTTCTTTGGAGCCATGGTAGCTTATTTAGCACTTGCAAGCACTAAAATCAATGGAATACATATTATGAAATATTTTGCATGAACACGTGAGGGGACCGTCACTCACTGGTAAACAATGGCACACTGGCTGGGAGGGGAGGCCGAGGCGGCTCAGAGCGTGAGTACGCGTCCAGCATGAAAGACGATTAGCGAGTTAACGGACCATTTGCGAGCCAATGTTTAGACAAAATAACAGGACTATTTCCGAAATGGACAACTTTCAGGCCGGACGATTATTGAGGGACCACTGTATATGTAAATGCAGAGAACCCAACCCAGCTCAAAATTTGTCCAATCTATTGTTAAGGCTATACAAACTTTTCTTTGCTGTATGTAGCCAAACGAGTGTTGTTCCCATATTTCCTATACAATAACAGAATCAAATGCATAAGGGACAGGTATTTTAATATACCATTACTTTAATATTTGCTTAAAAAATAAACTTTATCTATGTACATAAATAATGTATGCTACATAAATAATGTATGCTACATAAATAATGTATGCTTATCTACATAAATAATGTATGGTTTGTGCATGTATATTTTACTAACACCAGCCATATACATATACAGTATCAATTACTGTAGTTAAAGTTATGTCAAAAATGTGCCCTTTCAGGTGTGTTCGTAGTATGAGCACAGGTGATGCTGGCTCAGGTGTTGGGGCAGGTGGTGGCACTGGAGGCACAATCAGAGATGCTGGGGGTGCCTTTGGCAAGAGGGAGGTGGCCCTTGAAGAACAATTCTTCCGTAAATTGGTGAGAGACCTACAGTATTTGCAGTGTACAGTATATACTGTACACTGATAAAAATCTTCACATTTATTTATTTAATATAAGCAGTAGCTGTGGCAAGCAATAAATAAGGCATTTTTAGTAGTAAAGAGTTCCATACTCAATTTAATTACTTTTAAAAAAAATTAGACCAGTGTGTTAATGCGGGAATACATAACATACCAGAAGCACTATTTTTTACAAAGCCAACGTTATGCTCAGCACAGAATATATAAAGGCACAGAATATATAACAGGCACAATTAAGAGGGATGTTGAGAAATTTCCAAGAAATCACTCATTTGGGTATTGGTGCTTCGAATTTTACTGGCGAGACTGTTTCAATAGGCTGGAGTTATAATTCGTTATGTTTAGTTATGACAGTATCTCTAGATTTGTTCAGCTTTTGGGTGCCCAGGATCTGAGGAAGTATCTTCAGGTTTTTTATATCTCCTCTTGTTTCAGTGAATCTATTAGAATGGTGCAGTTGCTTGGATTTCCTCATTAGTTTGATGAGGACTGATGTATAGTGTTTACTATGTTCTTTAGTTATTAAGCCCTGTCTATATTGTTTTTCATATTTATGTTTCTTATCAGTGGCTCTTAGAATGCTTTTAGTAAGCCATGGGCACCTAGTTGTTTATTAGCGATCTGTTTGGTTTTTATGGGACAATGTTTGTTGTACAGTCTATGCATTTTATTTAGAAATATGTCTATCCATTCATCAATACCTTCGGCATTGGAAAATTCTGTAAGTCAGTCAGCTCAGTTTAGCTCTACGGTGAAGTTACTCATTGATGCCTCATCATGGGGTCGAAAAAAGATCTTGCTATATTCCATTGGTTGCTTAGAAATGTTTGTTAGGAGGAAGGTGGGGTAGTAGTCAGTAGTGTTGTTCGTGATTATTTCTGATCTGAGGGGAGCTAGTATATTTGTCCATATATATGGTAAATTATGATTGCACTCATCTCAGTCTTGTTGGTTTAGTTATAGCTGGTATTAGTAGTAAATCATTCATAGTATTAATGAAATCAGTTACTGGTATTGTACCAACACTTGTATATGGGTGTGAGGTATAGGTTTTGAGTGCTGTAGTGAAAAGGATGCAGTAGGCAGAGGAGATGCCATGTTTGAGAGCACTGTTGGTGTGAATGTCATGCAGAGAATTTGGAGCATAAAGATTAAAAGGCAATGTGGGATGACCAAGGGTATAATTTGCAGACCGAAGGAAGGGTTGTTGAGGTGGTGTGGGCATGTAGAGAGGATGGACAGGGATAGATTGATGATGAGGACTGGGGTGGAAGGTAGAAAAGGCATAGTTTTAGGGAGGGGGAAAAAGAGGCTTTCAGTTTTATGGGCCTGAGCATCCAGCAGGTTTGTGTGAGCATGTTAAATAATGATTGGAGACAAGTAGTTTTTTAGTGGACATTCTGTTCAAATGTAAGCAGGACTACTTTTATAAAAAGTTTCAAGGAAACCAGTTAAACGGACATGAGTCCTGGAGGTGGGAAGGGCAGTGCCTGTCCTCTTGAGGAGGGGTGAGGATTTTGCAGTTAGATGGGGAATCCAGTTGTGATGTCAGCACACTTTTGAAAGATAGCAGTTGGTTAATGTTTTTTCTTTGGGTTACCCTGCCTTGGTTGGAGATAGCCATTGAGTTAAAAAAATTATTATTATAATTAATTATTATTATTATTATTATTATTATTATTATTATTATTATTATTATTATTATTATTATTTCTTTCTTTCAACACACCGGCCGTATCCCACCGAGGCGGGGTGGCCCAAAAGGAAAACCCAAAGTTTCTCCTTTCAAATTTAGTAATATATACAGGAGAAGGGGTTACTAGCCTCTTGCTCCCGGCATTTTAGTCGCCTCTTACAACACGCATGGCTTACAGAGGAAGAATTCTGTTCCACCTCCCCATGGAGATAAGAGGAAATAAACAAGAACAAGAACTAGAAAGAAAATAGAAGAAAACCCAGAGGGGTATGTATATACAGTGGACCCCCGCTTAACGATCACCTCCCAATGCGACCAATTATGTAAGTGTATTTATGTAAGTGCGTTTGTACGTGTATGTTTGGGGGGTCTGAAATGGACTAACCTACTTCACAATATTCCTCATGGGAACAAATTCGGTCAGTACTGGGACCTGAACATACTTCTGGAATGAAAAAATATCGTTAACCGGGGGTCCACTGTATACGCTTGTACATGTATGTGTAGTGTGACCTAAGTGTAAGTAGAAGTAGCAAGACGTACCTGAAATCTTGCATGTTCATGGGACAGAAAAAAGGACACCAGCAATCCTACCATCATGTAAAACAATTACAGGTTTCCGTTTTACACTCACTTGGCAGGACGGTAGTACCTCCCTGGGCGGTTGCTGTTTACCAACCTACTACCTAGGTATTATTATTATTTTATTATTTTTTTTATTATCACACTGGCCGATTCCCACCAAGGCAGGGTGGCCCGAAAAAGAAAAACTTTCACCATCATTCACTCCATCACTGTCTTGCCAGAAGGGTGCTTTACACTACAGTTTTTAAACTGCAACATTAACACCCCTCCTTCAGAGTGCAGGCACTGTACTTCCCATCTCCAGGACTCAAGTCCGGCCTGCCGGTTTCCCTGAACCCCTTCATAAATGTTACTTTGCTCACACTCCAACAGCACGTCAAGTATTAAAAACCATTTGTCTCCATTCACTCCTATCAAACACGCTCACACATGCCTGCTGGAAGTCCAAGCCCCTCGCACACAAAACCTCCTTTACCCCCTCTCTCCAACCTTTCCTAGGCCGACCCCTACACCGCCTTCCTTCCACTACAGACTGATACACTCTTGAAGTCATTCTGTTTCGCTCCATTCTCTCTACATGTCCGAACCACCTCAACAACCCTTCCTCAGCCCTCTGGACAACAGATTTGGTAATCCCGCACCTCCTCCTAACTTCCAAACTACGAATTCTCTGCATTATATTCACACCACACATTGCCCTCAGACATGACATCTCCACTGCCTCCAGCCTTCTTCTCGCTGCAACATTCATCACCCATGCTTCACACCCATATAAGAGCGTTGGTAAAACTATACTCTCATACATTCCCCTCTTTGTCTCCAAGGACAAAGTTCTTTGTCTCCACAGACTCCTAAGTGCACCACTCACTCTTTTCCCCTCATCAATTCTATGATTCACCTCATCTTTCATAGACCCATCCGCTGACACGTCCACTCCCAAATATCTGAATACATTCACCTCCTCCATACTCTCTCCCTCCAATCTGATATTCAGTCTTTCATCACCTAATTTTTTTGTTATCCTCATAACCTTACTCTTTCCTGTATTCACCTTTAATTTTCTTCTTTTGCACACCCTACCAAATTCATCCACCAATCTCTGCAACTTCTCTTCAGAATCTCCCAAGAGCACAGTGTCATCAGCAAAGAGCAACTGTGACAACTCCCACTTTGTGTGTGATTCTTTATCTTTTAACTCCACGCCTCTTGCCAAGACCCTCGCATTTACTTCTCTTACAACCCCATCTATAAATATATTAAACAACCACGGTGACATCACACATCCTTGTCTAAGGCCTACTTTTACTGGGAAATAATTTCCCTCTTTCCTACATACTCTAACTTGAGCCTCACTATCCTCGTAAAAACTCTTCACTGCTTTCAGTAACCTACCTCCTACACCATACACTTGCAACATCTGCCACATTGCCCCCTTATCCACCCTGTCATACGCCTTTTCCAAATCCATAAATGCCACAATTATTATTATTATTATTATTACTTCAACATCACTCTGTCTACAAATTATTTTTCATTTTGTGCTGGCAATACAGTTCTCCATATTTTCCATACTGCTCATTACTTTTTCTTATATCCATTTTGTTGTTCTAGGAACACCAGCAGCTAGAAAAGATGAGAGCTGGACTAGAAGAGGAGGTGCAGTTCCATAATGAACAAGTTGATGCCCACAAAGATGCCATAAAACGGCATTATCGGATACTTGATGACCTGAAAATGAACATCAGGAATATTGAAGCACGAGACAAAATGTTCAAAGATAATTAATAAGGTTGTAACACAGGATATAACTTTGAATCCAATATCTTTAGTGTATACAGAAATCATAATTTTGATTTCAAACTTTAATGTGTATTTTGCTGATGTGTTTTAAAGTTTGCAAAATATGCATACATGTAGGTTGCCCTTCCCTTCTCCCATCCATTTTTTCCAAAAGTGTGTGTGTACATACAACAAGGTAATCATACATTTTTTTTAACACACCAACTGTATCCCACTGAGGCAGGGTGACCTGAAAAGAAAAATTAAAGTTTTTCTTTTCAAATTTAGTAATTCATACAGGAAAAGGGGTTACTAGCCCCTTGCTCCCAGCATTTTAGCTGCCTCTTATCACACGCATGGTTTACAAAGGAAAAATTCTTTTCCCATTCCATGAGAGAATATAAAACAAGTTTTGAAAGTAAATAATTTTGTACATGTTCAGCCTCACACACTGAGTGTCTGTGGTTCAATCCCCAGCTAGGGTAGAAACATTAGGCATGTTTTCCTATACCTGCTGTCCTGTTCACCTAGCAAGCAAGTAGGTACCTGGGTCTTAGTCATCTGGTGTGGTTTGCATCCGAGGGACAAGATTTAATGAGCCCAATAGAAATAAGACAGACTGTCCTTGATGACACACTTATTTTCTTGGGTTATCTGGGTGGCTAACCCTCCGGGGTTAAAAATCTGAACAGAATCTTATCTTAAATATATAGTCTGATAGTACTTACTGTATATACTGCAGTACTGTACCTACTGTGCCCTCTTCTACCAGACTACCTACCTACAATACTTCATCACTCAATATTTGTCCTAAAACCAACTACATATTACCTTCAAAGGTGAAAATAACTTCATGGTAAGTCAAAAGTTTCCATACATAGGCCACATAGTCACTGTAATATGCAATCATGTGTGGCTTATGTATGTATACTTGACTAATCCTATTTGAGTTTAATACAGTATGGAGGATAATCTAGAACCTCCTGGGCAAACCTGATAATGAGTAAAAACATAACTTTTAGTAAAACATTAAAAAAGTAGGACCGAGGATAGCTTGTTGTAGGGTGCCTAGTTCCAAGATAAGATAAGATAAGATTTCGTTCGGATTTTTAACCCCAGAGGGTTAGCCACCCAGGATAACCCAAGAAAGTCAGTGCGTCATCGAGGACTGTCTGACTTATTTCCATTGGGGTCCTTAATCTTGTCCCCCAGGATGCGACCCACACCAGTCGACTAACACCCAGGTACCTATTTGCTGCTAGGTGAACAGGACAACAGGTGTAAGGAAACGTGTCGAAATGTTTCCACCCGCCGGGAATCGAACCCGGGCCCTCCGTGTGTGAAGCGGGAGCTTTAGCCACCAGGCCACCGGGCCACCAAATGTTTCAGATACAGCACATATGAATTGTTGGACAGTTAACCTTCCCAGCAGAGAAGCCATCTATTCTGGTAAACTTACCTAGGATGATATGTTGGTTGTCAATGTGAAGGGCAGCCTCAAAAATCAAGGAGTTGGTGTAGGTGTGGGAAGGTGTATGCAAGGGCAAGAGGGTATTGACAAAATAGTGCATAAAGCTGTGTGACTGGGAAAGTACAGAAGGGTTTTGTCTTTATGAAGGAGACAGTTCAGGATCACCCTCTCAAAGTGTTTTGCTGGAAACTGGAATAAAAATAGGGCAAAATAGCATTTTGTTAATATGATTTAGGAATGTAAATCATGAGTTTTGGAGCTCTTTGGTTACACAGCTCAGCTGTACAACTCAGGTAGTGGATTTTTTGCTACTGGTTGGAGTGCTGTATATCATTTGTAGTTGTGTTCTCTCAGGATAAATGGGCTTAATTTTAGTATAAAATTTATTTAAAATTCAGCAAATAATACAATGTATTCATCTACTCTGCAGTTCGTGAAGCCAACAAGTTTGTGTATTTTGTGTTTTGAATTTAATTTAGACTGTGTGTGAAGGAGGTTATTGGATGTACAAGTATAATGTCAACAAGTATGGGTAAGAAAATGAAATATGCTGAGTGAAATGTTGTTCCAGTAGTATCTTGTTCTGTATATTGTCTTCATACCTAAGAAGTTTATTATTTAAGCACTGACCATCTCACTTGATGTAGGTGAGAGTACAAGACCCTTCCAGTTTTGTATCTCTTGTTTCTATTGATCCTACAGTATATCCCTCCATTCCCATTGAGAGCAGGGTGTGGCAAATGAGACCATTAACAAGATTCTTTGTGATTGCCTAAGTTCTGCCATAAACTTTCTGGTTGTGGGGAAGGGCAGGCTAAAAGAATTTAAGCTTATAGGCATACAGTTTTTCTGTATGCAAAGCCTAGTTTCCATTATATACTCATTGGATAAGGCTTAGTTCTGTAGCATAGTGATGAGGTTGAAAGTGTTGGTTGAGAACACAGGGTTCTTGATTTAGTTTCCTTGTCTGAGTATTTCTTGATGATCTGGCCAGACAAGATTCTTGACAATTTTGGCTTAAGCTTAAGAGGTTTCTGACAGTAGTATATAGTTGTTGTGCGAGTACTTGGTGGATGGTGCTTTCATAAAGCATTATACTATTATAGTAGTCTTATTTACAACCACTAATTTTGTGATTGAATCCATTACTCTTATGAACAGCTTATAACAGTACTACTAAATTGCTTAGCTAACAGGATATTGGGATCCAGTTCCTGGACCCATTATGTGCTTCTGCAGTTTTATGTTATCACCCACAGGATTTCAGGAGTTGTATGAGGCAGATAATAAAGCTGTCATATACTAGCTTGTAAAGTAGGGAAGGCCAGAGGGAGAAGTGATGAAATCTCTCATTATCAATACAGGGCTATGTTTTTGCTAATGACTACAGTACTAACTTTACACACCCTTACCTCTCACTCATTCTTAACCTCCACACGTCTCTCCCTGCAGTGTTTTGTGGCTCTTATGGGTTTAGCACTTAATTTGATAATAATAATAATGATACAGTATTAAGAACACCCACTTACAAACAAGATGTGCTTCTGAAAATAGTAATTTGAGTCTTTGGTCCCTGGAATTTATTATCCTACACACACCCAAGTTATAATCAGAGATGTTTATTTTTTAACAATACTCTGATGAGCCCCTCCCATCCTCTTCCCTTTCTTCTCTCTTCTTCCCTTTCTATCTGTCCTATTTTCCATTTGGTATAAGCTGAGCTGCAGCACATCAACTGCCCAAGTGGTTTTCAGGCTAGTGTAATTGTTTAATTTACAGTTCTTTACAAACTCTACTAAACAAATTTGAGCCCATCATACATCCAAAAAATGAGCAAACACAAAACATTTAATGAAAAACAAAAAAAAATTATTTATTGAAAATATTCTCTGTTGAAATGTTTGCAATATTCATATCTTAAAATCAGAGTTTGCAAAAAATTAATTGATTCCAGGCACCCTGTTCACAAGCATGGGTGTCTGCAACTCTTGAGTTTTGTTGTAGCACTATCCCATCACCAGTTTGTATTGCATGTTTTGGTGTTACTGTTGTAGATGCTATTAATGTACTACTGGACCCACTATTCTGTCCTCAATAGGAGTTGGGTTGGAGCTAGTCATTCTTGACAGGTTGGGGTATAATCAGATTCAAGGACTGCAGAGTGAAAGGAGAGTGCTCGTCATCCTGGAATTAGTGACTTGGCTCATGTTGACTAATGAGGTGGTACTGTATCAACAGAATTAACAGTAGGAGTGAAAGTTGGAGAAATGATGAAGGGGGATCAGGATCACTGAATGTATTTCAATTGCTGTTTCTGTTCTCCCATCATCAGATTATTATTATTATTACAATCAAGGGGAAGCGCTAAACCCGGAGGATTATACAGCGCCTGGGGGGGGGGATGTGGAAGGCATTCAGGCTTAATTTGGGGAACTGGAGCACAGATCCAATTCCCTAAATCAAGAGCCCCTCACCAACATCAAGGAACCTTCCTTGAGGGGTCCCATCATCAGAAATTGGAAAAGAATCAGCTGGCAGACTCCTGTTAGAATGATCAGCAGTGTTATGGGTAGTATACTGTTAAACTTGCTGTTCTTTAACCTCCTGGTATTACTAATCCAATTTACATATCCAGCAGGACATCAACCATCAACTGTAAAACAGTTATTTGAGTTGCAAGACTCCATTGAAATTAAAACTAAAACTGAACCTTTATTGATGAAGTTTTAATTTTGATATCTGTATACTCCATCCTAAGTATTTATTGGACAAGAGCATCATTATGTGAAACTATTAGTTGCCAACTTTCTGCAGCTTAAGTTCCTTATTAGGGTTTACAAATAAACTTCCTTAAACTTTGCTGTTAACTTGCTGCTGATTGGAAAATCATTTCCAATTGTTGTGGGAGAGGAAGGGTGTGCTGGAGCCTGTATTATTTCTTGCATGTAGTCTTTTGGAGTCCACTCATTCTTAAGAGTAGTTGTATTTTATGGTGAAAAAAGTTCTTTACCACCTCTAAGGGTGGGCTGGATAAATGCATCAATGAAAAAGGCTAGCATGGATCAATAGACATACTGCTGGTTTTTTGTTCTTTTTGGACTTGTTGGAGGCTCTAGTTAGGATCTAAAACCAACACAAGTCATTGAGATTATTTTCCTCATTTCTGTGACTGTATAAAATTGCACTACCCTCAGTTGGGGTGTTTCTACTCTCTTGTTAGTCTATGGTGGTAATCCTTCCAATGATTATATGATCCCTAGTGGCAAGGCCTGCAAATTTCTGCAAGTGGTAGAGTGAGACTGAAATATCTCCAAACAGATCTTTGGTTTGATGTGTAGTTTGGTTATGCATTATATAGTAGGATGAAATAAAAAAAATACTTCACTGAATGTCACTGGTACAGGTATGAGTATATCAGTACTTCACTGAATGTCACTGGTACAGGTATGAGTATATCAGTACTTCACTGAATGTCACTGGTACAGGTATGAATATAACAGTACTTCACTGAATGTCACTGGTACAGGTATGTATATTATGTTATACATTAATACACTGCATTCATTTGTTACATGAAATTGCATTTTATTGTAGAATGTGAAATGTGTCAAATATGTATAGCTTTGCTATGTGTTGTTAGGAATACATACACTGTACAAGAGTAATTTTTCTTGTCCTGAAATTTTTGTTGTCTGGTGACTTAAAAATTGGTCTCACCCAGTTTAGCCTTATTTAAATATAATAATCATATTATTTACCTACTGGTCATTTTTTCTAGTTTTATTACTATTATTATTATTATTTTTTTTTTTTAACAAGTCGGCCATCTCCCACTGAGGCAGGGTGACCCAAAAAGAAAGAAAATCCTCAAAAAGAAAATACTTTCATCCTCATTCAACACTTTCACCTCACTCACACATAATCACTGTTTTTGCAAAGGTGCTGAGAACACAACAGTTCAGAAGCATATAATATAAAGATACACAACATATCCTCCAAACTGCTAATATCCCGAACCCCTCCTTTAGAGTGCAGGCATTGTACTTCCCATTTCCAGGACTCAAGTTCGGCTATAAAAAAATAACCGGTTTCCCTGAATCCCTTCACTAAATATTACCCTGCTCACACTCCAACAGATCGTCAGGTCTCAAATACCATTTGTCTCCATTCACTCCTATCGAACATGCTCGTGCACGCCTGCAAAACCACAAAACCTCCTTTACCCCTTCCTTCCAACCTTTTTGAGGACAACCCCTACCCCGCCTTCCTTCCCCTACAGATTTATACGCTCTCCATGTCATTCTACTTTGATCCATTCTCTCTAAATGACCAAACCACCTCAACAACCCCTCTTCAGCCCTCTGACTAATACTTTTATTACTCCACACCTCCTAATTTCCACACCGAATTTTCTGCATAATATTTACACCACACATTGCCCTTAGACAGGACATCTCCACTGCCTCCAACTGCCTCCTTGCTGCTGCATTCACAACCCAAGCTTCACACCCATATAAGAGTGTTGGTACTACTATACTTTCATACATTCCCTTCTTTGCCTCCATAGATAATTTTTTTTGTCTCCACATATACCTCAATGCACCACTCACCCTTTTTTCCTCATCAATTCTGTGATTAACCTCATCCTTCATAAATCCATCCGCCGACACGTCAACTCCCAAGTATCTGAAAACATTCACTTCTTCCATACTCCTCCTCCCCAATTTGATATCCAATTTTTCTTTATCTAAATCATTTGATACCCTCATCACCTTACTCTTTTCTATGTTCACTTTCAACTTTCTACCTTTACACACACTCCCAAACTCATCCACTAACCTTTGCAATTTTTCTTTAGAATCTCCCATAAGCACAGTATCATCAGCAAAAACCAACTGTGTCAATTCCCATTTTGTATTTGATTCCTCATAATTTAATCCCACCCCTCTCCCAAACACCCTGCATTTACTTCTTTTACAACCCCATCTATAAATATATTAAACAACCATGGTGACATTACACATCTCTGTCTAAGACCTACTTTTACTGGGAAGTAGTCTCCCTCTCTTTTACACACCCTAACCAATCTCTTTTGCCCCCTTCCCTTTATACAAAGGGACTATACATGATCTCTGCCAATCCCTAGGTACCTTCCCCTCTTTCATACATTTATTAAACAATATGTAAAGTAAAAGGACACAAGTGCAACTAATGTGACATTTTATTGTGGCAATGTTTCGCTCTCCAGCTCCTGGAGAGCGAAACGTTGCCACAATAAAATGTCACATTAGTTGCACTTGTGTCCTTTTACTTTACATATTGTCGGTAATTCTACCAACATTATTACAATTTATTAAACAAAAATACCAACCACTCCAACACTATATCCTCCCCTGCTTTTAACATTTCTGTCATGACTCCGTCAGTTCCAGCCGCTTTACCCCCTTTCATTCTATGTAATGCCTCACGCACCTCCCCCACACTCACATCCTGTTCTTCTTCACTCCTAAAATATGGTATACCTCCCTGGCCAGTGCATGAAATTACCGCTTCCCTTTCTTCATCGACATTTAAAAGTTCCTCAAAATATTCTCGCCATCTACCCAAAACCTCCATCTCCCCATCTATTAACTCCCCTACTCTGTTTTTAGCTCACAAATCCATTTGTTCTCTAGGCTTTCTTAACTTGTTTAACTCACTCCAAAATTTTTTCTTATTTTCATTAAAATTTCTTGACAGTGCCTCTCCCACTCTATTATTATTATTATTATTATTATTATTACAGTCATGGGGAAGTGTCTAGGGGAATAAAAGGCAATCAAGTTCAATGAAAGGAAGGAGAGGTCAGGTCCAATTCCTTGGACCAAGAGCCCCCTCACTAGCATCATGAAACTTTCCTTGAAGGACCATTCTGTGGGTGGTAGTCAAAAGATTACAGAGGCACATATGGGTTTAGGGACTGGGCTGCAAATTTTGATAGCTAAACAAGTTACAGTGTTAATGAACTATTTGCATGTTTATATCTGTTTACAATCATAATGAGTTATTTATGCAGACATTAATTAGGTCACAAAAATATTACAATGCAACTTTTATATCGTTCTAAATTATTCATATTACATTTTAACAGGTATGCTTAATTATTATTATAGTCAAAGGTATGCTTAACTTTAAACAAGTTTAAGTGGTAATACATTATTTACAGTAGGTAAAGTCAGGATATTTTTTCAAAATGATTGGTAATATGCCACTGTGGATAAAAATACTTTGACATTTCTTGAACATTTGTGAGTGAGTTGTTGCTGAATACAATAAAATTAACAAATTCCGAGACAACTCACTTTCTTGGAAGGTCACCGTTTCTAGTGATTTTGCTTTTATGGACTTTACAACTTTTATTTCTTTTCTGCAGTAAAGGGCTCTTGATTCAAGGAATCTTAACTTATTCCTCTTTCATTGGGTCACTCAAATGCTCTCAACTTTTTTTTTTTTTTTGTTTGCATAAACACCCAACAGGAAGAGTTTCCCCAGTCATTAAAATTTACTCGCATAAGAGGCTTGTGTGAGCATGTCAGATAGGAGTAAATGGAGTCAAGTGGCCTTTATTATTTGATGTGTTCTTTGAGTGTTAGCAGGGTAATATTTATTAAGAGATTCAAGGAAACCAGTTAGCTTGACTCGAGTCCTGGAGGTGGGAAAGTTCAGTGTCTGCTCTTTGAAGGAGAGGTGGGGATGTTGCAGTCTGGAGGGTCATCTAAAATGTGATGTCATTGAGATTCTGGTAAGATGAATATATTATTCTACCCTATACAGGATTTACATATGAATAGTACATAATTTACTCTTAGTTATACAATCTGTCAGCAAATACGTGGAAATATGGTTTTGTTTGGTTCTTGGACGTACGTATTATTATTATTAAGGGGGAAGTGCTAAACCCGTAGGATTATACAGCGCCTGTGGGGGGATGTGGAAGGTGTTCAGGTTTAATTCAGGGAACTGGAGCACAGATCCAATTCCCTATTATTATTATTATTATTATTATAATAATCAAAAAGAAGCTCTAAATCTACAAGGGTCATCAAATTCCCTAGATCAAGAGCCCCTCACCAGCATCAAGGAACCTTCCTTAAGGGGTTCTTGGATGTAGGGTGGATATAGGATATAGTTGGTACTTCCTGCTGGTGTGTCAGTCCTCAATGGCACTAATATTACATGTTGTATCATTATAGTTTGTGGAAAATATGTGTAATTACTAGTATGCAATAGTAGGGAAAGAGCAATTTAATTTTACATTCAACTATTTGCCTTTAGATTTTTTTTTATCAGGGGAACCCCTAAATCTAGGCATCATATAGAGCCAGGGGATAATGGAAGACATTAAGGTTCCATCCAGCAGAAGAATAAATCCAGTTCCTAGGATCAAGCGCTCTAGCATCGACGCATCTTCCTTGAGAGATTTAAAAGCTGTGGTATGTAATGATGCTTTCTAAATAATCATTTAATCTACCATTGTTTGTATAAAAAAAAAATAGGCTCTCTGATCTAAACGACATTTTTAAGGTTGGAGCAAGCATATGAATTACCGAATACACCCACGTAGGATGGATTTCTTGTAAGGTGAAAAGTGATTTGAATAACAAGAGTGGTCCAGGCCAGTGAAAAGTATACTGGGCAACTTTTACCCCTTCTGCCACTGCCCATCTGGTAATAAAAATAATTTCCAGTGTGTTGACTGACTGTTTTGGATCCCATCCAGGGGAACATTGCTAAGAAACCATGTTAGAAAATCTGCCCCTCAGTCCTTGATACCAGTGAGGGGCTCTTGATCCAAAGACCTCTTCAAGGGGGGCTCCTTGGCGTGGTGAAGAGGCTCTTGGTCTGAGGAATTAGCCCTGTCGGTCTTCTTCCTCAGACCGAACCTAATTACCCCCCATTCTCCCCTCCCCTATCCCATCCTCCCCATCCTCCCCTTTTTCCATTCCTCCTCCTCCTCCTCACCCCTCCCTTTTGCCCTTCCTCTTTTTAGCCTTCGTGATTTCTCCCACAGGCGCGCTAGTTCCTAGGTAGGGGAAAGGACACCGGGTCCAATTCCCATTCCGTTGGAGGTTTTCTTGGCGGTGGCGTAGTTTGCGTGGAACCTGGATTTGCCTAGGGATGTCCCGATCCCTCCCGGTATCCCGGAGTATCTTTGGGTGCTTTTGGGCGACGGGTGTATCTCTGGAAGCCACCTTCCGGGCAAACCCCCCCCCCCCCCCTCCCCCAGGGGGTGGTGGCTGAAAGGAGGTATGCTTTGTGGCGGTATCGGACGCCCTCTCT